CGTTCACTTTCTTCGAATCGCAGGGTTCAGCACATTAGCTGAAGTTTCCTCTCTTGAATGACACGCAAGCTGTCTGCAAGTTTTTTCCGTGATCCATTTGGGCAAGTTCAGTGCCAATGCTTCCGGGTCACATTTAAAGGTTTGTTGTCGACGAGGGATCACTCATGACACTTGCAGGCTTGTGGCTGAGATCAATACTGGTCTCGTCTCGATTTCTCGCAGGAAGACATGCAATTATTCAATGTCTCGTGGAGCCGATGGGTGCTTCCATCGCGTTTAACATCCGCAGGAAGAATCCTGACAGCATTGACACTGCCATCCGGATTGTCGTCAATGACGATATTTAGGGCATGTTAAGCGCCGCTGCTGACGTTGCTTGAGAGGAAAAAACTTTTCATCCAAGACGCGCTCGCCAGCATCGGCTGCACGCAACAAGACCCCAGTAAAAGCGACTTGAAGCATCATAGAATCACAACATTCACGTGAATGCTGAGCGCGATTACACGCGTGAAGCGCAGGTGGTGTTCTGGTCACAGAACTGTTGGCACCACGATGGCCATCACACGCAATTTCCGTTTACACATGCGCTGGTCCCCGTGCTCAAAGCTCTCCAATGCATTTATTGTCAAGCTTCTCCGTACTCCCAGCTAGTCCTCTGGCACTGCTGAGGGCCAGGCAGCAAAAGTATTCGGACAATTTGCGGCGGGACAAAGAGGCTTCAGAGGCCGCGCGCAAGCATAGGAAGCAAAGAGGGCTGAGGAAGCAGCATGCAAAGAGGAAGCAAAGAATGCCGAGCGTCAACAGCAAGAGCCTAGATTCATCTGGCCTTCCTCCTTGACCGCTTCCACGTCTAGCGGATGAATGGAGTGATGGGCCCAGGGAGAGAGACAAGAATAGCGGCGAACACAAGGGCTCTGTGAGGCGCAGCAGGAGCCACAATGGGAGCGGCGATGAGAGCAGCAGCAGTCTGAGCAGCACCGCGCGCGACGGCAACAGCAGCCACTAAAAAGTAACAAAGCTTTGCCCGAGCATTGTGAGACCCGTAATGCATGTGGGCTCCTCACTTCTCCCCATCGACCGCGCAGGCTGCCAAGCAGCCCGTGAGTACGTCAAGAGGCGTGTAGGTGAAGAGAAGCAGTTGGCGCCACAGAATCACCCCTGCAGCCACCTCTCCTTCATGCTGACCACCACACTCTCCTTGTCAGCCTCCCAATGCTCAGCCAAAGCCTCTCGGGCCTCTTGTACCTGCAACCTCACACTGAGAGCAGGTGCAGAAGCTGCTCGAGCTGCACATCCGTGCAGATTTGCAAATGGCCGAGGCAAGCACCCGCCGCCTCGCCCTCATCGAGGCGTTTGCCCGTCAACAGGTGCCTGTGGCTGTCCACACTTCCTCGGAAGAGCAAAAAGTGGCCCAGGCAAAGAAAGAAGCCCAAAAAATGTATGACATGATCATGCAGACCTTTCCTGACCCCCCTTGTGAGTACTCGCTATAGCATTGTTGCAGATGCTCGAGCGCTTGCGCTGACTTTGAGCAACATTGCCTCTAGATCCCAGCTCCAACCCAACCACTTCAACTTTTGTAGAGTCGGAGTGATTGATGGGAGCGGCGGGAATGAAATGGGTGGGCAGGCGATGACGTTTTGTGTGTGTGTGTGTGTGTG